GGGGGGGATGGGAGATGACCTCACTCAGGGAAGTGAGGGTGAGGGGAGGGTGTGCAGAGGGGAGGGGGGGATGGGAGATGACCTCACTCAGGGAAGTGAGGGTGAGGGGAGGGTGTGCAGAGGGGAGGGGGGGATGGGAGATGACCTCACTCAGGGAAGTGAGGGTGAGGGGAGGGTGTGCAGAGGGGAGGGGGGGATGGGAGATGACCTCACTCAGGGAAGTGAGGGTGAGGGGAGGGTGTGCAGAGGGGAGGGGGGGATGGGAGATGACCTCACTCAGGGAAGTGAGGGTGAGGGGAGGGTGTGCAGAGGGGAGGGGGGGATGGGAGATGACCTCACTCAGGGAAGTGAGGGTGAGGGGAGGGTGTGCAGAGGGGAGGGGGGGATGGGAGATGACCTCACTCAGGGAAGTGAGGGTGAGGGGAGGGTGTGCAGAGGGGAGGGGGGGATGGGAGATGACCTCACTCAGGGAAGTGAGGGTGAGGGGAGGGTGTGCAGAGGGGAGGGGGGGATGGGAGATGACCTCACTCAGGGAAGTGAGGGTGAGGGGAGGGTGTGCAGAGGGGAGGGGGGGATGGGAGATGACCTCACTCAGGGAAGTGAGGGTGAGGGGAGGGTGTGCAGAGGGGAGGGGGGGATGGGAGATGACCTCACTCAGGGAAGTGAGGGTGAGGGGAGGGTGTGCAGAGGGGAGGGGGGGATGGGAGATGACCTCACTCAGGGAAGTGAGGGTGAGGGGAGGGTGTGCAGAGGGGAGGGGGGGATGGGAGATGACCTCACTCAGGGAAGTGAGGGTGAGGGGAGGGTGTGCAGAGGGGAGGGGGGGATGGGAGATGACCTCACTCAGGGAAGTGAGGGTGAGGGGAGGGTGTGCAGAGGGGAGGGGGGGATGGGAGATGACCTCACTCAGGGAAGTGAGGGTGAGGGGAGGGTGTGCAGAGGGGAGGGGGGGATGGGAGATGACCTCACTCAGGGAAGTGAGGGTGAGGGGAGGGTGTGCAGAGGGGAGGGGGGGATGGGAGATGACCTCACTCAGGGAAGTGAGGGTGAGGGGAGGGTGTGCAGAGGGGAGGGGGGGATGGGAGATGACCTCACTCAGGGAAGTGAGGGTGAGGGGAGGGTGTGCAGAGGGGAGGGGGGGATGGGAGATGACCTCACTCAGGGAAGTGAGGGTGAGGGGAGGGTGTGCAGAGGGGAGGGGGGGATGGGAGATGACCTCACTCAGGGAAGTGAGGGTGAGGGGAGGGTGTGCAGAGGGGAGGGGGGGATGGGAGATGACCTCACTCAGGGAAGTGAGGGTGAGGGGAGGGTGTGCAGAGGGGAGGGGGGGATGGGAGATGACCTCACTCAGGGAAGTGAGGGTGAGGGGAGGGTGTGCAGAGGGGAGGGGGGGATGGGAGATGACCTCACTCAGGGAAGTGAGGGTGAGGGGAGGGTGTGCAGAGGGGAGGGGGGGATGGGAGATGACCTCACTCAGGGAAGTGAGGGTGAGGGGAGGGTGTGCAGAGGGGAGGGGGGGATGGGAGATGACCTCACTCAGGGAAGTGAGAGTGAGGGGAGGGTGTGCAGTGGGGATGGGAGATGACCTCACTCAGGGAAGTGAGGGTGAGGGGAGGGTGTGCAGAGGGGAGGTAGGGATGGGAGATGACCTACGCTCAGGGAAGTGAGGGTGTGGTGAGAACACGCTGTGAGGAGGATGAACCTGGGACTTGGTGGTAGATGGACAGGGCTCTAGTCCCTACCCCTGAGTTCTTAGCTTCATGGAACTGGGCAGGCCCCTCAGCCTTTCCAGTCCCAGTGTGTCCGTCCCTGCAGTGAGTCCATCACCTCCAGTCAGAGCACACAGAACACAAAGGCCACCTGGTTCGTGAGCGCCGTGCAGTCGTATTTATTGTTACAGTGTGAAAATCCACTCTTGGGAAGACAGTCTGGGCCATGGCGCGGACCATCACCGTTGCTCCCCGACAGGTTTCCTCCTCAGCCACGAGCTTCCATGTTGAGTCACGGCTCAGGGACTTGTGCTCACCAGCAGCCATTGGCACTGAGGCTAGGTTCAGAGGCTGCCATTGCCCAGGGTTTGGCACCATTTGGACCCAACTGGCCCCTGCTATTCCTCCCTGCTCAACTCGGAAAGCCTGTAGAAGCCTGGAAACGGAGTGGGCACAATGGTGCACAGAACACGTGGGCTTGTGTGGAGGAGGGAGCTGGCCTGAGCACGGTGTTCTCCCCATGTTAGAGGGTCCTGGACCAGAGAGGGTCCCGGGTGCCCCTGTAGTGAAGATTGAAGTCACATCTTACCAAATCTGCCCAATGTACCAAGTCCCAGCCTTGTTCCATGACCTCAAGCTTTCGGGTCCCTGTCGTGAGACCTTTATGCAGGCTGGGCTGGGAGGGGACTCTGTCCCCTCTACTTCATCTGGGCTTGTCATGTGGCTTCTCCCTGCCTTCTGTACCTGAGGTCTGACGCCCAGGGTTGGAAGGCTGAGTGTGCTGAGCAGGCGCCTTCTTTGGCCTGGTTCCAGCCTCTTCTACCCTGGTTCTTCCCAACCCTGACGCCAGGTCCTCCTGCCTTGCAAAGGCCCAGCCTCCTTGGGCACAAACAATAGCTTTCGCAGAAACACGTGTATTTTCTCAGGTCTGGATGCCACATCACCCTTTAGGGACCAAGCCATAGCTCAGGCCACTTGGATAGAATGTGGCAGGGGACTGTCCCATAGGGGGCCACTCTAACACCC